GCGGGAGGGCTAGCGGTGGCGGCGGCGGCGGCGGCATCGACACCACCGTAACCATTTGTTCGCTTTGACCGGATGCCAATGGGCGGATCGATGGAAGCACGCTTTTGCTTTAGGGCCAGTTGGCGTTGAGTTTTGTGTTTGGACTCAAGGCACGCCAGCTTGAGTATTGTCATGTCGCAAAGCACTAGGATCTTCAGCTCCTACACGACGCAGAAAGAGATAAACCTCCACCACTGCGGAGCATCCGATGCGAGTCGTGGTCCCTGGGCGGGGCCGGGCGCCGGATGCCCCACATGCCGCCATTGACGTCTGCCTCATGTACAGCTGTCGTCGGACCTCCAGCGTTGTGACATCCAGCTTGAAACCGGTATCATTCTGGTGAGACCGGTCGCTCACAAGTAGATGCGAGGCCGCATGTTCGTCTGGGCGCCACCTCAGCGCTGATGGCATGTTTGACCACGGGGCGTGCACGCGGGGCGAGGCAAGGGGGCTGCATGGCTTGGGGGGGCAGCTCTGCTTGCAGAATGAAGGGGAACATCACATCTTTTCGCGCCGTGAAGCACCACCTCTAGACGACCCTGGCTCGCTGTGACGCCAGCCGCCCGTTGCGCGGCAAAGTACCGTATCAGATCAAATCGACCCGGAAGGCCTCATTGATCTGCTGCAGCAATCAAGATGATAAGTTTTCCACAGCGGGTTTTGCGTGCTGTGGCTAGGCCGCCGAGTTAGGTGTGAACTGCCTGCGTTGGTGGTACGTCGGCTGCGTTAGCACTCCACAGAGGTGCACAAGCCATGCAGGATCCATCAGCTTTGCGTGAGCCGCTGCTGGCGTGCGCCCCCGCCGGCGCCGCGCTCAAGCCCCGCTTGACTACGCTGGATTCGGTGGCGGTCGCACTTTCGCTCTCGCTGGGGGCGGGCGCGTGGGTCACGGCCGGCGTAGCCGCGCGCGACATGGCCGGCCCCGCTGTCGTGCTGGCTTTCCTGATCGCCGGGGCGGCGGCGCTGCTGGCGGCGCTGTGCTACGCAGGTGGGTTTGTGCGCGGGGCCCCCCATCGATCCCGCACCGCGCCGGCTTTAGATGCCAGCTCTTGCATAACTTGCTGTCGGTTTTTCTTTGCTATCACAATATCTGGACGCTGCATGTACATGATAAGGCCGCATGTACGCTAACAGGCCGGCGGCATGCATACATGCATGCACCCGTCTCATCGATCATATCGGCCGCCGCGGTCCTGGAACGCCGCCACCTCCGCAGAGTTTGCGGTGGCGATGCCCACCGCCGCCGGCGTCTTCGACTTTGTCCGCGCCACCCTTGGCGAGCCCGCCGCCTGGGCGGTCGCGTCCACCCTGATGACCGCCCACCTGCTCGCCAACGCCGCCGTCGCGCGCGCGCTCGGCCCCAACGCCGCCCAGCTCCTCGGCGTCGACGCGGCCGCGCTCGTGGCGCGCCGCGGCGGGTGGACGCTCGACCCCGTGGCCGCGGCGCTGGCGGCGGCATGCTGCCTGGTGCAGCTCGCGGGCGCCAAGCGCGGCGCGGCGCTCAACAACGGTGAGCGGTCCTTTGCCGCCCCCTCTCCCCCGAAAACAAACTCGCCCGATGGGCCTGCGCCCAGCTGGCCGCCCGATGCCTGCTTCAGGTCTGCCCTACTTGCACCCACGACTGCCCGACTCTCGCACCGACATTCCACGGGCCACCCCCTCATGACAATGGTGGCTCCCTCCCAGTTGAGCCTCAGACGATGACCCCAACTTGTACGGCAAACCCCCAAACCCCTACCCCAGCCCTAAATGCCTGCAAGCTCCTCGTCATTGCCGCCGTCATCGCCGCCGGCCTGGGCCGCGCCGACCCCGCAAACCTGGCGCCCTTTGCGCCGCGCGGCGCCGCGGGGGTGCTGGAGGCGGCGTCGTTCGTCTTTGTCAGCGTCTCCGGTTTTGACGTTGTGGCCAACATGGCGGAGGAGGTGCGGGGGCGTCGCGCGGGGAGTGGGTCTGGACCGGCGAGCCGAGCTTGCGACGAGCCCAGGGCTGCGGGGGCGGCGCTCGGGGCCCTTTCGAGACTGTTCTGGGCAGCAGTGGCAGCGATCAGCGTACCACAATTGTATTGAGTTGGTGGCTGTGGGGAGCGGCCGTCAGGCCTCTGGGCCCCCAGCGGGGCCGAGCCGCGGGCGCCGCCGGCCCGGGCACGACGGCCCACCACCGTCTGCGCGTCCGCCCCGCGACTGGCACCCCCTCCCCCCTTCACAAACACACACACACACACACACTCTTACTGCGCTTGCGTGCAGATGCGAGACCCGCGGCGCTCCCTGCCGGTCGCAATCGTGGGCACCCAGGGGGCCGTCGTCCTCATCTTCGCCCTCATGGCGCTCTCCCTCGTGGGACTGCAGCCCGCCGCCCAGATCAGCGCCGCCGCCCCCTTCAGCGCGGCCCTCGCCGCGGCCGGCTTCCGCCACGCCCGCCAGCTCGTCGGCGCGGGCGTCGTGCTGTCAGTGGGCGCCTCGGTCCTGGTCGGGGCGCAGGGCGTGGCGAGGCAGGCGCTCGGTCTCGCGCGCGCGGGGCTGCTGCCGGCGCCGCTGGCGCGGGTGTCGGGGCGCGCCGGGGCGCCGTGGGCGGCGGCGCTGGTGACGGGCGCGCCGACGGGTGAGGCTCGCGTGGGCGCTGCATTCCGGCCGCTGTGTTTGCGCCGAATCCCACTGCCTACGCGCGCTGCTTCCGGGAACCGCCACCTAGCTGCTGTTTGGTTGCTGGGCTGGTGCAGTCCCCTTACATGCGTCCTCATGCAGCGGGGCTCTGCATCCCCGCCTGCTGGGTGAACCCAGCACCAATGTCCCCTGTTACGCACAATCATTTCCCTCTTGCACCGTCAACGGGCAATCAGCCGGGCCGTGCACACACCACGGAACATGCGTCGAGCATCATCCCTGCCTCGTACAACTCTTTCGCCGCCCCACATACATGTCGACCCCCCCCCTCTCCACCCGCCCAGTGGCGATTGCCTTTGCATGTGACCTGGAGGGACTCGTCCAGGCCACCAACGCGGGAACGCTGATGGCCATCGTCGCAGTCTGCACCGCTCTCATATGGCACCGCTGCTTCGGCGCTGGCGCCGGCCGCACCGACGCGAACCCCGCTGCGCTGACGTCACACGCGAGGGCGGTGTCACCAGCGGGGTGCCCCGTCGTGGCTGACGCGGTCGCGTCGCCGCGCCCGGCGGAACAGCGGCAGCAGCGGCAGCAGCAGCAGGAGCAGGAGCAGGAGCAGCCCGGGCTTGGGCAGGTTGCGGCGTCAGGGGCGGCGTGGCAGCAGCTGCAGAGCCAGGAAGAGGACGCGGCTGTTTTGGTGGTGGTCCATCCCCAGAATCCCGCAGAAAAGGCTGCAGGTGGTGGCGGCGCCACCTGCGCCATATCTTGCTGGGGGAAGCTCGCGGGCGATTGTAATGTGTGGGCGGGGCCGGCGTCCGAGGAGCCGGACTGGCGCCTGCGGCGCCGCCGCCTCGCGGCGTCGTGCGGGGTCGTGCTCGTGCTGGCCGGTTCCGTAGGCACGTCGCTCGCGCTGCACGTGCCCGGCGGCGCGGCGGGCGCCGCGGGCGCCGCAGCCACTGCGTGGGCCGTCGGCGC